CGGGCCGGGAGAAATATTTGTATGACTTACATTTATTTCTCTCATGAGTTTGGGTGTAATTTGTGGTTGTCTATGTGTGTGTCCATGGCACCCGCGACACAGGGTTTCCCTAGTGCGGGGCTATGTTGAGTGTGTGCGTTATTATTATTATGCGTTATTATCACTGGTCACCTAGAAACGGTGGAGACCATTAATAAAACTTGAAATACTTATAGTTTGTAATAGTTGAGCTTATTCTGAAGCCTTTGTTTTGCAATACATACCTACCTATCATACTTGATAGGTAGGTATGTAGGTAGTACTCGTATCTATGTAATGGCTGCGTGATTGTGACTAGGCTGTTATTTTATATGATTGGTCATAATTCCTTATGTTATTACTGTTAAAAGCCGTAGTAGCCTTATGGTTTGACCCATCACCTCTCAAGTAGAGACCGTGGGTTCGAAACCGGGTTCCACCTCTGAGTTTCTCGGAATTTATGTCCGAAATTAATTTGTAATGTACAATTTTCCATGAGCTTTTCGGTGAAGGACAACATCGTGATGAGACCTGCACGTTCATGAAGGTTCACCACTTTACCTATATCTGCCGCCAAGCAGTATTGAGAGCATTACTATGTTTCGATTTTGCAGGTTACCTGTTGACATTAACAGGCACATGGCACTTGTCAAATCTTTGCGATTTAAAGCACTAAGTGACACTACAACTGTTATGAACAAGCATGTCGCTTACCACCAGGCGTACGACTTGTTCGTCCTGTCACTTGTTATCATAAAAAAAAACCGAAGAAGGTTCACAGCTCTCGGAAAATGTATGAAGTCTCCAATCCGCATTGGGCCAGCGTGGTGGACTACGATCTAAACCTCGAGACGTGATCCGTGCCTAGCAGTGGGACGTATAAATGGGTTGATGTTGATAATGATGTTATTTATAAATTGATGATGTTATATTACCGTAATAATATACTACTTTTTTAATTCTTCTACGCTTTTATCATACTATCAGCCAGGTACTTAGAAGCTAGCCTAAAACGTACTCGATTTATATAGTTGTACATTATCCTCATGCCGCGTATGTAAAACCCTTATTATTCCAAAACTTAATAATACTACTTAAACCAATCTGGAGAAACGTGAAGCATATTTTCTATCCTGCGGAACATCATCAATTACACCGTGTAGCGTGTTCGTGGATAACTTACAGTAGCTGTTATCTTTACAATACTCTTTTACTTTTTGAATGTCGTGTGTTTTTATGAGTTATGAGTAACAGTTTTTCTTGAAAATCTGTTACTCATAACAAGTCAATACATTAAAGATATACCAGAATCTCAGGACAAATATAGATATGGAAAAGTACTGATAAATAGAATAAAACGTACGAATTTTCAACATTTCATTGAAATGTAAAATTAACATTTCTTATTAGTAATTACGTATTAATAATAAGCACTAGCACAGTAGATTCTGCTCGATGGGACACGTTTCGATCGCCGGTTCTTGAAGCCGAGTCCCTGACCCCAACCGACTATGCTATTACTGGGGAACACAATCTGTCTTAGTGTTGTTAAAAAACCGTTTTTTTTCTGGAGCACGTTTTTTTGCTAAATGTATGAACATAAAAATATGACAATATGACACATTGACTTACAATTATATGGACGTCGGGTCCGCGCTAAAAAGTGTCCGCACTTGTAAGGCGCTAAAATCGTATACAGAGCGCGACACTCCGCTTTAGTCTTCATTTGTTCTACTGACAGCGCGATACTGCGATGACATTACAATTTAAATTTCGAATAGGTTGACTTGGGACATTTTTTTCGTGGTTTTTGTATTAGACCCGTCGTCCATTTATTTGTAAGTCAATGATATGACAAATATATTTTTTTTACTACATTTCCTCTTTTGTTGTTAATATTATTCTTCATAGATAAATTGCTCAAAGTAAATGGGCAACACTCATAGTGTTGTCAATTTGTGGCGAATTCCCCGAATTTCAGAGAGCATTTTATGGAATTGACGCTAAGTGCTAACATTTTACCTTTTTTTAAAAATCTATCGATTGCTGTTGCATCGCTACTTTGATGATTACTGATAAAAACATTACTTATTTATTTATCTAAGAGCGACATCAATATTTTTTCCCTATCACACATATCCCTTATATAAAGGGTTTTTCAATAAGAACTTTTTGTAAATCAAAATAAAACAATAAATTTAGATGACAATGATTCAAATTTTTATTGTATTAATAAAAGTAAGGTTTGGCAATTATTAATGAAAAATGATATCTGATAAATGTCCACCACGACCACAGTTACAGATGTCGATTCTTTCCATAAAGTTTTTAATCACTTTTTGAGAAAGTGGTGGGTTTATTTGGTTAATCACTTCAAAAATTGTGAGTTTTAAGGCTGCAATCAATTCGATTGGCTCCGTGTAGACTCTGTCTTTAACATAACCCCATAAAAAATAATCCAGCGGTGTTAAATCATATGATTTAACAGCTGGCTACTTAACGGCTGAATTTCGTGTAATTATCGGGAAATTTGGTTTGCAATAAATTAATTCATTGTTTCGGTGGCAATGTGACTTGTGCCGTTGGCATTGGGCCGTTTTTTTTCGAAAATTCGGCTGGAAATGCGGTAACGGTGAATGGATCACGCTATCGCGAGATGTTATCAACTCAATTTTGGCCTAGCATTGACGACATGGATATCACTGACATGTGGTTTCAACAAGACGGTGCCACATGTCACACAGCCAATGAGACGATCAATTTATTGCAAACCAAATTTGCTGATCGCGTAATTTCCCGAAATTCAGCTGTTAAATGGCCAGCCAGATCGTGTGATTTAACACCACTGGATTATTTTTTGTGGGGCTATCTTAAGGACAGAGTCTATACGGAGCCAATCGAATCGACTACAGCCTTAAAACTCAAAATCCGTGATGCGATAGCCGAAATAGACCCGACATTTTGCCAAAAAGTGATTAAAAATTTTGATGAAAGAATCGACTTCTGTCAGCGTGGTCGTGGTGGACATTTGCCAGATATCATTTTTCATTCATAATTGCCGAACTTTTCTCTTTGTAATACAATAAAAATTTGAATCATCTTCATCTAAATTTTTTGTTTTATTTTGTTTTAGAAAACAAAGTTCTTGTTGAAAGACCCTTTAGCAACATTTATATAGAATTATTAGCAAGCCGCTTATGTAAAATTATTCGGTAGGATTTGAATGAAGGAAACGAAGACACAGAAAATATTGATGACATTACAAGTGTGGGTAACACCTGTAACAGTAGTAACACTAGTAACACCACAAATGAAGATTAAATTTTTGTTATAATTATCATGGTAATTGATTGTAATAAACATGTTATATATATTCACACACACACACACATATATATATATATATATGTGTATATTCTTAAAACAAAAGTTAGTGTCTTATTTTATTTCAGTTATTCCATTGTATATTTTTTCTTTGTTTTTTTTTTTTCAAAAATGTGAAAAGAAACATTTGTTTTTTTTTCAAGTTACAACACTAGTCTGTCCCATTTAAAAATTTAAAATTTATCTTTAGGCCATCATCATCTTATTTGAGAGCTAGACTCTTGTTGGTGTAGCCTCCTCCATTCCTCACTTTTGCCAGGCCAGTTCTTTGGCCTCTCTATAGCTGTTCACTTTGATCTTATTTTTTATTTGTTCACTACACGCCATTCTTGGTCTTCCTCCCTTCCTTTTCCCTTTTATCCTGCCCTATATTACCACAAATTCGTCACTACGCAACAAATGTCCAAACATTTTCCCCCTTCTCCTCTCTATTGCATTCAAAAGACTGTCTTCCCCAACCCTTTCCAAAACTTCCTCATTTGATCTCTTTTCAATCCATTTTATTTTATTTTATTCTTTGGCCCCATCGATTGGAAGGAGTATTATATAATTATGTACTCCTTTTTACAAATCTTTGGGTTATAATATCCTTAGACTATAGAAACTTTTTTTCCATCCACTAAGGTTATATCGGTTACTCTGCTTTATTGTGTAACTTATGTCGATTGAAGATATTTTTAAGTTTCGAGTTCTTAGGTTTTCGCGATTGTTACACATAGGAAATGAAACTATTTTTCCGGACCTTTACAGGTCCCATGGTCACGGTTGAATCAACCGTGATCATGGGACCCGAAACGTCGGTTTGTTTGAAAAAATTAATATACGCGATTTAAATCCGGAAAAATAGTTTCATTTCCTATTTTTAAGTTCTTTTTTTTTATAAAAAATAGTGACAGACATAATATTAATACGAGAAATATAAATAAACTAGCTATTTTCGACAGTCGTCTTCACAAAGTCACGAATTCATTTAAAGGGCTTTGTAAACGCTTCTATAATAAGATTCCTATTGATATCCAAAATTTGCCATTTACGTTTAAAACTATAGTGAAACAAAAACTTTGTACTACGGCCCAACTCACACTGGCGCAGAATCGAAGCGTCACGACGCGTCATGTTTTCGCCTATAGCATATTCATCTCTATTTTCCCATTATTAAGTTACAAATTTGTGTTATGCGAATATGGAAAGGCGCGTCGACGCATAACTGCGACCACACTGTGATCCGGGCGCACTAATGCGAACGTCGCCGCGCGACGACGCGCGTCGCCAAGCGTTGTAGTTGAAAAATAGGACACGACGTGACGCTTCGACTCCGCGCCAGTGTGAGTTGAGCCTAAGACTTCTATTGATTTTTAAATAATTTACTTGACGTAAATATTGAAAATCCACTTCGATTATTCTGTCATCTAATGTCATCTTCTATGTTTGTAACATATTGTACATTCTTTTTAAGACAATAATACCTTTTAGCTTTTGTAGAAAGATATTTAAGTTTTTGTTAAGTTGACTAAGGTTGAGCAATATTTAGTTTTTATACGTATTTGTTAAAGTCGTAACTTAGGCACATATCTAGAAATAGATACTCAAGTGCAAAAATGGAAGATAGTGCAGGAAACCTGGGAGTTTCGGCTGAGGTCTTGTTTGTAAAAGAAGAAATTGTCAGTAGTTCCAGCGAAGACCTCCCTGCGGAAGAATGGTCCTCGCTTATTATAGCGAATCCATTTTCGAGTGTGAACCCGAAAAAAAGATTACAAGAAGAAGGCCTGTACGACCCAGGTAGCGGAGAAATGTGTACAAAGTACCTACGGATGTCAGACAGCTCTGTGTTCAGACATCCATATTATAATTATCCAGCCGTTTTGGACCCAGGTATCAAAATCGCACTATTGAACCCTGAACCAGAGCGTCCTCCCTACCCAGATGACGGATACGATCTGTACATGGATCTTTGTAAGGAACATAATATTTGTCCCGTAAACCTTTTCTATTCGAATCTACAGGCCCCTGAAATAAATTTAAAATATTACTGTGCTGGGTCTGCAAACGTTAGAATGATGGCGATGGCGTTGGAGCGCAACAACTTCGTTAAACGTTTTGAACTCACTGACAATCACCTTAACATAGACGCTTGCTACCATTTAGGACAAATGATCAAAAATAATACTACTCTAGAAGAATTAATTATGGATGGATGTAAAATTAGGGAAGTGGGGCTACGTAACCTAACCGCTTATATGACTTCTAATATTACTATTAAAACATTCAGCCTAGCTCGAAATGATCTCAGCGACGATGGTGGTGAGCTATTTGTAAGACTCATTGCTGCAGGCGCTAGGTTCAGTAGGGTCAATTTGAGATACAACGGTTTGGGAATGAATACTGTGACGGCATTACATGAAGCCCTACAAATTCATAATATTATAACACATTTAGATCTTTCATGGAATCCTCTTGTTCACGTGGGATCTGTAGTAAAGTTTTTAAAGACTCTAGCAGAAACAAGCGAAACACTTCAAGAGCTAAATCTCTCTTACGCGGGATTCAGCAGCGAACGCGTGGCAGAAGCTATCGCCGAAGTAACAACCATAAAACAATTAAAAATTTTGGACTTAAAAGGCAACAAATTGAACGACGAATGCGCACCGATTCTTGTATCGAATCTTCTAAACTCTAAGCTACACACTTATGATCTTTCAGACAACGAATTTACTCCTTCTGGCGCCTGTAAAATATTACTCCCATTAACAAAACCGAAGGTGTGTTTGAAAAACTTGTTCCTCGACAACATTTGTGTCAATAGAACTTTCATGGGCATTCTAGAAAAGGTAAGGAGGTTGAAAGTTCGTAAGAATTTTGTAGTGACATTCGATAAAGTTTTGCACGACTGGATTGCTATTGGAGACGATCCTAGAACATTAATATTGAAACGTGGTGAATACATGGGAAAAATGAAGAAGAAAGACCCTACGAATGTTCCGTTGTTCCTGTTGTCATTGAGTTACGCCGCTGACTACATCAGAGCAAAGGAGGTCATCGTGATGATGAAAGATAAAAAAATACCAACTAATGACGACTGGGTAGATGGATTGATCAAAGCATTTCCTGGACCGATAGTAGACAAAAAACCCACTGTGGACTCTGAAAAGATGCGGGAATATATCAGGCGGTTGTGGCCAGATGAGAAGCTGCCCCCAGACTGGACACCGCCTGTTATGATTAGAGTGGACGTAAAGAACAAGAAGGTAGTTAAAAAAAGTAATACTGCTTTACCCGTCGAAAAGAAAAAAAAGAAGAAATAGTTTACGTGATTGAGTAGAAACAATAAGATTATTTATTTTATTGTTGCTAATTATATAATAATGTGCTAGTGGATTTGTAATATATTTCAATGGCTGCAATCTAATTTATAAATTTCAAATTCTATAAGAAATCTTTGCCCTTAAAATCATATAAGAACAAAAACAGTAACTTCACAGTCATTCTGGAAACCATATCAGCGACGAAAATCCTCAAGAATATCCTAAATATTAGATTTAAAAAAAGAATCAATTCGCAATACTTTCTTCTTCTTTTTCTTCTTTTAAATGTTATGGCTCCATCGACATAATCGATGATTTCGCCTATATGCGGTAGTTTTTTATAAATAACACAAAAATTGTGGCGGACGCCATTAGCAAGGCCAATCCTCCCACGAACTCATACTTACAATAGCTGCATTGTTGATAGAAACTGAAATTTGTCATAAATAAAGCAGATTTTTATGATCAGATATTTTTGCACTGTGTTCACGTACTATATAGTCCTATTATTAAGACTCATAACAAGCTGCTTAAAATATTTTACTTCATAATTATTAATGGTTGGTATTCTTTGTTTAACTTGATGCTCTTGAACATTATTGTATTTATTTTTGTGAAATATTTAAGAAATAACAATTTAAAAATGTTGTTTTGTTTTCCTTTTTTCTTTAAGCCCACTCCGTCACGATATGGATTTATATTTATAAGACCCATTTATACATCCCGCTGCTGGACACGGATCTCGACTCAGGCGAGAGCTTAGGCCCTTAGTTCCCGAAGCGGTTCAGGTGGACCCCTAGGGGTCCACGGAAGACTCGACGGGGGTCTACTTTGGCGTGACAAAAAATAATATGGATATGGAATATGGTAGAAATGTAGCTACCAGCTAAATTTTGAAAGTGGTCTATGAGAAAAAAAGTCTGGATACCTCTGGCTTAGGCCATATTCCGCCACGCTGGGCCAATGCGGGTTGTGGATTTCACACGTTATCCGAGGGTTGTGAACTTTCTTCGGTTATCTTTATGATACCAAGTGCCGGGACGAACAAATCGTACGCCAGGTGGTAAGCGACATGCTTGTTCATAACAGTTGTAGTGCCACTCGGTTAAATCACAAAGATTTGAGGAGCACTGCTACTGCGCCCATTACCTTGAGACATAAGTTAACAAGTCCCATGTGCCTGTTAATTTCACCAGCACCCATAGGTACCCTGCAAAATTGAAACAGATATGCTCACAATACAGCGTCGCGGCACATATGGGTAAGGTGGTAGGTACTTTCCTGGACAAACTTTTCCACAAGGAGCTCAACTGCTACAATACATGCAGGTTTCATCACGATATTTTCCTTCACCGAAAAGTTCAATGTTCAAATTTAATTTCGCGCATAAATTCCGAGAAACTCAAAGGTGCGAGCCCGGATTTGAACCTACACCCTCTGCTTGAGAGGCGATAGGTCAAATTATTGGGCTACCACAGCCACAACATAAAGCCGAAGTGTTATTGAGTAACTTTTTTAACACACAATTATTGAAA